AAGGACGACTCCCAGAGCGTTCTCAATTTTTTTACAGTCAGTGAACCCTAAAACAACCTTTTTCAACAATTGTGCCGTTGATTCTTGCAAATCGACGGACTATGCAATTTTGTTTCAAAGTCCGATGAATTTTCTTATTAGTTAACAAATTGAATAATTTCCAAAATACTAGTCCAGTAAGAATAGATCAAAAAATGGCAAATAGGGGAACTAAATCATGCATTATACTAATTCCTTCGGAAATGTGTAGCAGAAGGTTCCCTGATCAACATATAATAAAGTCCCCCCGACTTCCGGGTGTGCTAGAGGGGTGAGGGGGAATACCGTGGTTTTGATGGTCACATTGTATAGTTTTTTACTTACAATTCGAAAACGGTGCGTCATAGAAAAAAATTCTTTTCAATATAAAGCTCATTAAATTTGCTACAACTTTGATTCTATACACTTTCTTTGTTTTTGACCCACCAAGATTGAATATGTGGATTATACACATGCATGACCGTACTAGCCACCTCGATACGTATAGCGGGATTTACCCTCATTTACCCTCAACAGCGGTGGGGTGGTATGAGAGGATAGAATCGAATGCTCCACCCCATCAAGACTAGCGACCCGCGTACTTTAACGGCCCACCGGTCCTCTAGGACGGCGATGAAGAAATCACTTTTTCGAACAGCGAAGATTAGTCTTAGGTATTGTTAATATGCGTTACACATTGCATAAAGCACGATCCCCTCCTTTATGCAGTTACGATGAGGTTTCTTGGAGGGAAAAAACCACAGGAAATCATGATGTAGGTGTTGGTCATATACTACATTGATATGTATCCACATATGAAAATATTTAATCTTGGATAGTCAATACATAAAAACGATGCGTTTTTTCCGTTTTTTCCTAATTATGTATCCACTCAAAGTTATAGCAAATTTAGTAAGCTTTCATTTTTAGGTACCTACAACATTTTTTGCTATAGCGTACCTTTTCCACGTTGTAAGCAAAACACTAAAAAATGGGACCTCAAAAGCCGCTCTCACTCTCCTCCCCCCTTTAGCACAGCCGGTAGTCGGGGGGACTTTACTTTATGTTGATTGATTGAGGGAAACGTCCCTTACACAATTCTGAAGGAACTGGTAATACATGAATTAGTTCCTCTATTTTTCCTATTCTGACTGGGCTATACCACACGAAATGTAAATCTATAGTAGGCGAATGGAAAGCTCTCTCGGAAAGACCTACATTAAAAAAATACGTCCAAATCCGAGTTCACGAGAAATCAGCTTTTGACTTCGGACTTGTTTTCGACACAACAAAAAAATGATTTTGCAAATCGGGTCGCATCGAACGATTCATTAAAGGGTGAGCTTTTTAATGCTTCTATTTTACCAAAATGTAGGTATGATTTTTATTAATCAGAACGCCAAGCGCCTATTATAGAGTTACCTTCCTTGTTATATTTCGGGAGTTATTCAATTTGTTAGTTAACTAAAAAAAATTCACAGACCATCAATTTGCAAGAATCATAGGGATAATTTTTGAAAATGGTTGTCTTAGGATTCCACCATCTGTAAACAAATGTAGAACGCTCTGGGAGTCGCCCAGTTTAAAAGACCAAGTATCGTTTTGTAAATTTGTTTACTTAATTATGCAAAAACTATCAAATCTACGGTGATCGGGTTTGTCATATTGTTTTGTTATCAAAAGAAGTGACCAAATACGGATTTTCAAAAAGATCGGATGAATTTTACTTAGTAATAACCAAGTGGAAATTATAAAAGCACTAAACCTTCCCCATACTTCATTTAATTGTTTCAGATTTTAAATTCAGACATTATGTGACAGCACAGCGACTATAGTTTCGACCCTGAGGTCATTATCAAGCTGAAAATTTATATAATTTAACTAATTTGAAAACAATGATTAGTTAAATTATATAAATTTTCAGCTTGATAATGACCTCAGGGTCGAAACTATAGTCGCTGTGCTGTCACATAATGTCTGAATTTTAAAATCTAAATAATTAAATGAAGTATGGGGAAGGTTTAGTGCTTTTATAATTTCCACTTAGTCAATTTCACCCCGTTTTGAGTCGTTATAAGATGGATAGCTACCAATTAGTAATAACCAATTGATCATCTTCGGGATTGCTTTTTTATATTTTTCCATAAAAAACAATAACATTTGAAAATGAACGTTTCACACCCATTGTATCTTATAGAAAATTCAATTCTAAACCAATTCATTTCTCTTCATTTTTTCCCTTAGAGCAATAGTTAACGCGATAATTGAAGTCAAATGCGACAAGAAACGACATCTTGCCATTTTTTCATCGTTTTTTGTCTATACATAACAATATATTCCGGGAGTTTTCGGTTAGGGGGACTATGATTTTCGGATTCAGCGGATCTTTTTACATAGAAAATACTTGATTTCGTTGAGTGAAATGACAACACCCAGCTCAATCTGCCCAAACTGTAATTTGACTGCACTAAGTATTATGAATATTGACACAACAAAAATGCGATCGCGTGGCATTTGACGTCACTTTCATTCGTCCAATGGTGAAGCGTTTCGCAATTTTGAATTTCGTTCGCTTATTTTGCACTTTTGAATTAACATTTTTAGCAACAAACTAAATAAGAAAGTAATGGTTTAAGTATAATGTCAGGACAATAAATATTTGCCGGAGAAAGAATCAAGTAAATTTAAACCACATGCATATTCCCTATTAATACGCAGCAGGCCGATAGCGGACTTAAATAATGTTAAAAAATATGTGTCTGAATCTTCTAATTCTAAAGGAGGGCACGACGATAGCGATTAATCCGAAAATGGAGGAGTATTCAGAGAATTAATAAATTTCAGTACTTGTTTAGATAAAGATTTGAATAGCTATTTGTACAACTATTAGTGTTGAAAGTTCAGCCTCATTAATAACACTCCAAATAAAATTGATGCTATATTGTTTATAGAACAATTTATATTTTATATGCACGGACCCCCAATATAACTTCTACTCTTCTAGATGGCTCCAAATCCTTCCTCGAGGACCTTTGCATTCTCAGCGAAAAGAAACATCAAACAAATTCCTGTACTATTTACGAAAAATGGCAGTTCTTCAACAGAAAAACATACCATTAATTATCAGCAAGAAATCTTTATACTTGGAGCATATCATATGTCCTCTAAATATTCAGGATACAAGGTACAACACTTGCTGAACATCTGAATTAGCACATCCGAGACCGTAACAGGTATCTTCGTTGGAAATTGGAAAGTGTACACTCCTACGATTCCTATCCGTTCCTAGCAGTCCTCCACTTTTCCTGTCAGAACTGTACGTTTATTCATTAGGACTCCACTCGTAAAACACAACAGATAAACTACCTATCTTTTTCTTTGCAGCACTGTTTGCATTGTAACTTGCCCTAGCGATAGAACAATCAGACTGTTTGGCACAGAGTCATAGAGTAAGCTGTTGGTAACTGTGCACACGAGGTACATACATATTTCGGTATCTCGGCACTCCGCGTTCACCCGTGCTTTAAAATACAAAAAAAATTAAACTACTTTTAGGGTGGTTAAAAAAGTTAAAAAGACAAACTAGGTACTCTTGAACTTTTAGGGTCTCTCTTTCAATGTAATTGCTTTCCACCCAGAAAACATACCTGTCAATAAACCTAAACCAATATAAATGCTACATGATGACCTACTTCCAATGATGCGCTTTTGAAAGTCAAAATTTCGTAATTTGTTTTGTTTTAAGATAGCCACTGCACTGTAAAGGTCAAGGTAGTGGTATTTTTATAAAGAGCAACACTTTTGACATTTCATCTGTTATTTTCGTTTTATCTATTTTAAATTTCGGTACAATTCATAAACGTAGATAAAACACAAAAAAAGGAGATACCCGTAAATGTCAATTTAAGTCGCACCCACTGGCGTAGATCCTTTAAGGCGGTTTGCCTCGGTCACCTGGCGACCATGAGAATACTCTTACTACTATTTTACCGGACCTCAAGCTAATTAATTCGTAAACGGCTAAGTTTGTGGCCTAATTAAAAAGACGTGTTTGGTTTCCAACGTGCTTATACGACAAAACAATCTAAACGGTATGGTATTACCGAAATTCGTATGAAATTAATTACCTATATTCGAGTGAAATCAAAAATTAAATATTTTGCGTAATTTTATGTGGTTCTTAGAATCCCATTGATTATGTACTTGCCGTCTATTAATAATACGATTCTTGAAAAAGAAGGTTTACGTCGAGTGCTCATCAACTTATCTGTCTAATGAACAAAAAATCAGTATAATTCTACGTTTGAACGCAAAGAAAACTGGTTTCACTACCTGTCACAACGGAAATAAGTAGCGCTTCGCTTATTATGTAATCAATTACTGCGTCCAAATTATGAACGTTTGGTTTTTGCAAGGTTTATAATTGCAGGTTAGCGCTTTCTCTGTAATACTTGAAAACTTCAACTTTATTGCGGCTTTCAGCAATTTGGGAAAACGTCAATACACAAGGAAAATTGCCTCCACGTTCTGGAAGCTATAATTCAATTTGGACAAAACTTATCGACAGATTTGACATTTTATGCAAATTAACTTCATTTTTAGAAGGATTCCACTTTACCATTAAGTTCTCTCCATCGCTCTATTGCAGCGATTCTCAAAGTTTTTTTCCTGTGGAACCCTTTGAACTTCAGTATTTTTTTGTGGAACCCCAAAATATAAGAGATTAATGTAGTAATAAAATATTTAAATAAATTGCAATTCGAAGTAAAAAACCTAAAAATCAACTAATGAGAGGAATGTGTTTGCTTTCTATTCCTACAAAGTTCTTTTATATTTGGTTGTATTGAAGACAGTTGACGCCTCATGTCCGCTTCTGCGTTTAACCTGTTTCGGTATTTAGTTTTTGTTGCTGCGTATGTTGAAAAACCGGTTTCGCACAAGTAGGTGGTTGCAAATGGTAGGAGTATTGTAACCGTTTTTTTTTATAACAGTTGATACTCGTCTTTCAAACTGCACCAAAAATCTACAAGAGGTAGCTCTTTGTAAATGGATTGCATTGTAGTATCCGACACCATCTCTATAAAGTTTTCATACTCCGAAGTTGAAAAGGAAGTAGGTTTTTCAGTAATATTAAATGGATTTCGAACCCACAGATCATTTTCCAGTTTTTCACGTTCTTCATTGGGGAAGTACTGCGTTATTGAATCAACCAAGCCTTCCAGATGCTGGACAATTTGTTCATACTGCTTATTTGTGATTTCAGTACCTACTTGTTCCAAAAAATCATGCAGAGTGGGAAAGCAATCTAAATCTCGACGACGTATGCAACTGGTCCAAAACTGTAATTTTCTGTTTAATGCCAAAAGCTTATCATTGGCATTGAAAATATTAACTTGTTTTGCTTGAAGTGCAAGGTTAACTTCATTAATTTTTGAGAAAATATCAGCTAGATAGGCAACTTTAAAAAACCATTCTTGATCTGACAATCTGTTTTTCAAATCAAAATGGTGATCAAGGAGAAATACACGTACTTCATCTCTCAGCTCAAAAAAACGCACCAATATTTTTCCCCGGGATAACCATCTTACTTCTGTGTGAAGCAGCAATGAAGAATGAAGGCTTCCCATATCATCACACAGAATTTTAAATACTCGGTTGTTCAGAGGCCGTGATTTTATAAAATTTATTATCTTAACAACTTCGTCCAGGGTGTTTTTTAAATCAATAGGCATTTTTTTCGAGACAAGTGCTTGTCTATGTATCACGCAATGACTACTCGTACAGTTCTTTGCCACTTGTTTAATCCGAGCCACAGCACCAGCAGTTTTGCCAACCATGGACTTTGCACCATCTGTACAAATATTAATGCAGTTTTCCCACGGTATATTATTTTCCTCAAAATACGAATTTTGCATATTGAAAATTTCTGCTCCAGTTGTATTGGTCGGTAATGATTTGCACAAAAGAAGATCTTCTGCCATGGACTTTTCGTGCTGATATCTAACTAATACGAGTGAAATTGCGAGACCTGCCACGTCTGTTGATTCGTCCATTTGTAGAGCAAAGTTGGATGATTTGAGACGCCATATAAGCTCAGTTGTTACATTGCCTGCTAGTTCCTTTATTCTCCGAGAAACTGTATCATTTGATAAAGGAATTTTATTTATTTCCTTTGCAGACTTCTCGTTGAGCATACACCTAGCCATATTAATCGCACATGGCTTGATCAGCGTCTCGCCTATGGTATGAGCTTCGCCGGCCTTTACTATTTGGTAGCTAACTAAAAAAGATGCCTCAGTAGCGTTTTCATTAACAGTGTGTGAGGAATCGAACATGAATTTTTGCACCTTTAAAAGTTCATCGCGTTTGCGTTTAAAAAATTCCATATTCTTATCTTTAAACTCCTGATGTACAGATTCCAAATAACGTCGCAATTTAGCTGGCGCCATTGAACTGTTTGGAAGTATTTTGCTGCACATGACACATTGTGGGTTGTCGTTAGCGTTTATAAATCCGAAACTAATATAGCTTTCATCGTATTTTCTCTGTTTTTTCACAATTTTACGCGGTTTGTCGACATCACAACTGGTATGCCTTTCTACACCGACTGGATGTGTATCTGAATCGATCATTGTTTCTGTGGTACTATCTGATGCATGAGAAGAATAGCTTGCGAATGAAATTCAGAGGTTGAGCGTTTTAATGTACCCTGTTTAAGCCACCGTTCCATTTTTCGTCACACGTCACACAAATACGCACTGAGTAACAAATAACTACAGAACTACACTACAGTGTAGTTTCAGTATTACTGCTTTAATTTAGCCGTTTAGAGCGTCATTAAATGCGCGCGTCTCTCCCACCACATTCTCGCGTGAGCTGCATTCCGTTATTCAGTTATTCAGTTATTCCAGGAAATTTTTCGCGGAACCCCAGGTTGAAGCGCGTGGAACCCAAGGGTTCCGCGGAACAGACTTTGAGAAACACTGCTCTATTGTATAGGTACACTTTTTAAACTCCCGTACCTATACCTTCCAATTGGACGTCTCGTATTAGTCGGATAGCTTGAAGTGCAATTCAGTGATGGGTAATGACTTTGTACCCTTTAAATAAAAATATAAGCTAATCCTAATTTTTTATTTGCATTTTATTTTATATATTTTTTAATTATTTTTCTAGAACTCTTAAGATGCTACAGAATACTGATGTTAAAGAGATACTAGTGCTTAACTTATTCTCCTGCATTCTCACTGTAAACATGACCCAAGATACATTAGAACAATCCCTCTCGGCTCGGTCAATATCCAAAAATGAATAAGATTGTTTAGTCTAGAACATTCCGAAGCGTTCTAGAATAATTGTCGTTGGCTATATAAGCGGGTGCAGTTGTGTTTCAGTCAGTTCCAACATCGATGCGTTCTTGTTATGTTATAAATTTTGAGTGATAAATATTGTAATAACTATTGTAAATTAATCCATTTTATGACTGTTGTAAATTTATTGTTAATTAATTGTAAATAAACGACGTAATTAAATTTACGTTATACCGGTATCAAATGTCGGGTAGTGTGTAAGTGAACAATTATTGAAAGTTTATGCCAGTAGAGAACAGATCTACGCCAGGAAAAATGAGACAACTGCTCCAGTTAATGCAAAATATCGAATCCGGCCAATCTGAAATAAAAGCCGGTCAAGATGAGATGAAAGCTGGTAAACAGACCATGGAATCTAAATTGGAAGCTGATCAACAAACCATTGAAGCTAAAAAAGAAGCATGTCAAAAAGAAATGAAAGGCATGATTCAAGATGAAATACCGGGTGTCCAAGATAAAATTCATACGATAGAAAACGAAATCGAAGAACTACAAAAACGATTGATCGTATTGATTTAAGAAGACGAAAAGAGTGATGTGTCATCTGTGATAACACAAGATCTACTTGCTGTTCCACAATCGTCCCACAAACTCCGAACCGCGTGAAAGTATTGGCAGAACAAAGGTTCGAGTTAAGCCACGAACATTCGATGGAAAATCACCGTGGTCCACCTAGTTGAAACAGTTTGAGGCCTTTCTTGTCAGAACTCAGGTTTATTAGAACGAAATTGAATAAATTAATAACTACTAAAAGTGTTTATTATAAGGAATATCGCTTGGTTTGATACCTATACAAAAATTCGAAAAATGTTTGGTGAATTTCGGAAAAAGGATCTCAAAATGTTTATAAAATAAAATTGATAAAAATATAATATCTTAAAACTGAACAAAGATAGCACAATTATCGAAGGTTATTTTTGGGGTAATTGTACCTTTTCATTACATCATTTATAATCAACGTAAACTAATAATAAGTCGTGAAATGTTCAACACGATATCACAAACCGTTTTGACAAATGACAACAGCGCTTTGGTTCCATCTTATTTTTCATACTATACAATCAAAGCTAGATGGTAACACAGAAGTCCCGATAAAGAGATACCTATTAGAGATAGAACCTTACTCATATGTCATATTATGTTATTAAATAACTATTTTAATTACTTGGAATACGCTGTCGAGTAGCTAAATGTTAATTAACAATTAACTGTGTGTATCGGAATTTGTCATTATACCTCGCTAACTATTAAAAGTTGTAATAGTGACTTTCCATTTATCTAAATATATTGCTACTGTTTGCATATTCATTGATTAATTGGTGTAAGAAAGGATTTCGTAACGTTTTATTACCTGTGAAAAGAGAATTAAGAAATATTTGATTCAATTTAATTCGATTCGGCGAAACGTAGGATTGATGTAACTTTTGTGAATAATATTTAAAATCAAACTCTCGTGTAATCGAACGCAATTAAACTTCTTGTAGTCTATTGATTAACGTAGGAGTACGAAATAAACGAAATCCCACGCTCACTTTAATTTTGTGCGAATTGAGTTACATTGAAATAGGTACGGAAAAAGATGTGTAATTTTTTGATATATGATAATCCATAACACCTGTTAGCGCAACTGCTTCTGTTGACGTTTTCATAGCAGAAATGGTTACGTAAGTTAACAAAGTTCGGCCGTAAAATGTAACGTATAGACAATGTAATATTTGAGAAGAATATTCTAGATCTAACTAGAATATATTCTGTGTAGTTTCCACCTTTGCACAATTCCTACTGAATCAGAACCTGACGACAATCATTTGAAGGTCGCTAAAGCTGGCACCTCCACTTTGCCTAAATCAAGTAAAAATATAAATAATACTTAGGACTAATCAAATACTAATTTGTACCCACAACATTGCATCAAAAACTATAAATAAAAGACTAATTTGTACCCAAATTAGATTTTCATTGTTTAAACAATTTTTAACAAAAGAAGGGACATTCCTCGGGACATTCTTAGAATGAATAATAAGAAATGCAACGTATAAATTAAGTACTAATTTGTACCCACACACATTTTTTATAAACAAATTATATTGTTAAGAAGTCGTCTGGTTCAGGGCGCATGCTAGGAATGAAAGAATGCATTCATCTGCTTCGGGATCGTTTATAATTTTGTAATGCTGTCTGTTTATCTGTCCCTCTATCGGTCCGTGTGCACGATAACTTTGTTTAGAAACGCTTTGGTACGTATGTTCTTAAGGACATAAGAAAGGTCGCTATTGTTTTTCAGCTAAATACGTATACTATCGAGTCAAAAAGTTATTATAAAAATGATGGATGCGTAAAGATCTTGAGGATCGTTCGGTATTCAGTTGTATCAGATTTTTGGGTTGCTAAGTTGATGACAAATTGACATGGAAAGATCATTGCTACAATTTAATAGTGAAACTTAATACGACATACAATTCTACTTTTTTACAATGCACAAGTACCTACAATCATTGTATTTATAAACGAAAAATACAATGCTAATACGTATTAAATTCTACCTAGCTTATGCTAGGAAGCTATAAATTATCAGAACCACGACATCCATCAATGTGGGAGTTATTTTCTGATTATAAAACTGAAAATATTTCAGTGATTAAATCACTCTTTGTACAAACTTCCAGAAATTTATTCGTATTAGTTTTCCGCATATATTAATTAACAAAGCTCGTTGAATTTCTGCATATTATACCATCTTTATTATGTTATATAATCCAGAAATATGATTTGATTTATAGTGGGTCTTAGCAAATAAGGAACTAAACCTTAACGCATCATCGAGAATCTCAATTTACATTTACGGTTTTGTCAACAAGGAATTTGCATTAAGGCACTACGAATTACCAAACCCTCGCACAAAACAAAATATATGGGTTTCTATGTTGCGGTATCTATAGATAATTCTTCCTGCTTACAAAAATTACTGCGTTCGTACAAAAAGATTCATATTAGTAAAATAGTTCCACTAAGGGTAGTTGTTGTTTGCTTAATTGTTCCTTATACGATTTTGCAGTATAGCACATCAATCTGTACTTTTTATGGAAAAAATTATCGAATTGCTTGAAGTTTGAGGCTGTTACATAATATGAAATTTTATGTAAAGCCACCTTACATACAAGTCTATAATTTCAGTAACAACCATCTTAAATCGTGCGTAATTTTCGGTTATGGTAGACATAAAAATCTTTTTCATCCTGAACGTTCCATAACAAAATAATAAGGTTTCATTAAAAATAAACACCACTTTTCCCTTGAGATCGTGAAGTTTCATTATTCTTTTGGAAATGAGTTGTTTATCTCCATTTCCGCCCTTAGATGTCATAAAATATTAATGAAGAGTTTCATTTCATATAAAAGTATCTAAAAGATCACACAAAATGTACAGTTCCAACAATTGTTTGCATATCGTATTAATTAAAATTCCTTATTTCATATTGTTTAACAGGTTGGTATTAAGTACATTACATGGATTCAAATTATACCAATGCAAAATCTTGCTCTACGTGCGACAGGCTTCGTGTCGATATTGTAAAAGTTTCAACGAGTTCTTATTTGTTTCTGAGTAATTTTAAGAATATGTAAAATTTTCCATTTGTTGCCACATTTTCGTTCTTTCCTTAGTGTGAACATTTTTTGGAGGCGAGTTCGATCTGTTAGTATATGTTTATTACAAGGAATGTCGAAGAAAGACCAGGGACGGATTGGCACGTAGGTCACAATGGCCCTTAGGTAATGGGTAAGAATCGTGTTTAGCGACAGTATTGAAGTTTCTTGCATTAACAAGTTTATTGTTCGATGTTGAAGTTACAGGTTTATCATTTATAAAATTATGTTTTATTTGTAATTTATTATTTATTACGTGGGTAACCTTTTTATATTGATTTTCCAGCAAAGAAGGCTTTAAAATTCTATTTGAAAATTGAAATTTTTAAATTTCGTGGTGAGGTATAATAACCCCCCCCCCCACTCCTTCTACAATCCACCCTTTATTAACAAGTTATTTGAAGCATTGTTCGATAGACATTTTCGCTAAAACGCGCACAAACGAAATAATACTAGAATAATGGTGGCTATTTTGAATGGCGTAATACTGGGAATACGTGGGAGGGTAGGGAATGTCCTCCCAAGTTTTTTAGACAAGCTATGAAATGTTTTTGATCATCGTCTGTGAACAATTTTGTCCGTTTCGGCAAAGACGATAGTTTCGGATAGGTAACCTA